ATGAACGTGATATGTCAAGCACATGTTAGAACAATCTTCTAGATTTGTCATGCCTGTTAGCTATCTCATCATGTCCTTGAAGATCATGCAAAGGCCATAATGAGTATATACAGAGACCTTGACGAGTTCATCCTACACCATAAGACTTTTCCCCTCGTTATCACTTTCTCTAATAGAGGTGCTCCCTTTCTCTTGTTATTCTTCAAAACCTCCATCATCAGAAGAATTTAACTTTTGGGTGAAAGAAAAATCCTAAGAAAGAGTAATAGATAAAAATAGCTCGATCTTAGAGAAAGAAGGATGAGGTGAAGACCCTTTAAAAGAGGATGAGATGTCTAAAAAAGTTGATTAAGAGGGGAGAATAGAAGTGGCAGGAGGTGGAGAAGATCAAACCCCAAAAAGGGAAATGATCGAAAAAAAAATAAGGTTAGCCATAGAAGATAGACCAACCCGAGAGACAAGGAAAATAGATGGATGTTGAAGTTCAAAGTTGATTTGAGCACACAATTCTTTCATGCTCAAAACTCGCTTGCTTCTTACCTGAGTATTCTTTTCATTACATCGCTACCATTTTTCTGACATCAGGCTAAACCAATAAGCTGTCTTTGCATAGTTATGACCCCCAATAATATGGAAGATTAACTTATCATCTTACTGCCCTCATTAAGCTCCCTTTAACTCTACCTTATAACTCTAAGCCTTTCTAAAACTCATACTAGAGGAAATGGTTAGAAAAACGTACAGAAGTAGGTGTAGAAAAAAACTTTGAAGGCTAGAAAACTGTTGAGATAAAAAATTTTAGGTCAGATTGAGAGTGCAGAAAACAAAATGTGAAAAATTAAAGCCCTACCAGTTTTTTATATAATGGCACCATAGACCAAATGGACAACATGTTTCGCACCACGTGTCGAAGCATAAATGAAAAAATGTTTTTTTATCTTTCTGTTTTAAATTTTTTTGCTCAAACCACCTCTCTCCTCATTTAATGGTGTTAGACCAATTTAACTAAATGAAGCTCAGGTTGGACCATCTAAATTGAACAACCATCAAGGGTAAACCAAAAGCCCAGTTCACCTCTAGGGTCTAAAATAGAGGCTTAAATTCAAATTTTTGAAAGAAAATACAAGTCTCACCATAGCTAGATGAATTCCAACACTAATCTCGAATCATCCCAAACAACTATCACCTCGGTAACCTTTAAACTAATTATGCACTTAATCTAGAACACACATGTGAGATCGAACAATTGCCAAGTTGGACTGTGGCTTAAAGTTAGTCATCGTCCAAAACCAACCTCTCCCTACAATGTTGACTTTTGATGAACCAAGCGGCAATCTATTTCTTCAACCAATCTATCCCACATCAGGGATGTCAATAATAAATTTGGTGATTTGATACCTAAACCACTTGTTAAGGGGACAAAGGGTTAGTGGCATTTGATAGTCAAAAAAATATAATGGTTTTTTTCCCTCTCAAAGCTTTTAGCAGACAACTAAAGGTATCTTTGTTATTTATGCTGACCTAACATGCATGGTCAGTGCCACCTCAGCTTGGCCTTGTCTTAATTCTCCCCTTATGATTCTTCTCAACTTACCTATAAATTTGAAGACTTAGGCACCGTGAAGATAGGTTTATCCTATTCATTTCTCTCTCTCCTTCTTACTTTCTTACCAACTTGATCTTTGTTGACTTACATGTCAGAGTGTAAATGTAAGGAACACCCTTTGCCTTTGTTTCTAACCATCCTTCTCTTTTAAATTCACAAAAATAGCCTCAGGTCGAAGCTCGACACCAACACAAACCAAAGTGTACAATATTTGTAAAGCTCTTTTTAATGTAAGCAGAGGGATCTTTTAATTGTAGGGAAATGGACATTTTTGCAAAAATTCATGTTAAATTTTTGAATACTTCTAAAATTGACTTCTGCTTTGGAAATTGAAATTAGGGGTATAAAGATAATTTAAATTAAATTTATGTTTGTGAGTTTTTATGTAGAGAATATATAAAATGCAAATTGCACACACATGCTCTTGAGTGGATTATGGTGGTGTGGTGTGCATTAATGCCCCCTAATTAAGAAAAATGATCCTTTATCTTTTTCTTTCGTTAATAGAAAATGGTTTGGTCTTTTTATAATTATGATCCTATATATCAAATGTATAATCTAAAAATTTCAAAACATATATAGTGCATATGAAGTTTAATAAAATAAACACATTTAGCTATTAAGTTAACATGCATAATTAAACAAACCTCAATTAAACTTGTATGAAAAGTTAGCAAATTTGGTCAAGAACGAATGTGTAGAATTTATATGGCTAAATGTTTAATTTGGGATTAAAAGTTTATCTAATTGTTCAATTCATGACTAAAAGTTTTAATTTGTGCGAATAAGAAATAAATGTTATCGAATATTTACAATTAAAGATAAATTTATAATGAAATTTGTGCATGTCTCCTACGCATGATTTACTTGCGTGATTTAGTTTTATACTGACACAGATTTATACAAAAATTCAAAAAAATAATAAAATCATAAAAAATGTTAGTTACATAAGAATAAAACAATTTTTTTCTTTTTTTTTTCCAGATTTTTTTATCCTAACTTCAGATTTTTCTCTCTTTAACTATTGTTTCTCTACGAAATCTCCCATTGTTTTGTTCTTGCATAGGGATATACTAGGTGGATTACTATAGAGAAGGCTAAGAAAATTGATTTACAATTGCACTAGTTTGTAAGGATTTTTTGTATTTAATGCTGTTAGTGGTGGAACTAGTTCTGATTTGGGCTATTGCTTTTGGAACGCTTGTCTATAGATTATAGAAAGAAGTCAAAACTTGATTCACCATCTACCTTTCTTCTCAAGTAATTCCTTGAAGACTTTGTGGAAAAGCACAATAAAGATGCTAGTATAGTCCTCTGTTTGAAAAGAAAAAGAATATGGTGAAACACATAAACCAGGAACCTGTAGTTGAGAAAATCAGTTTACGATTCAAGGGTGTTCAAAAGCGAAAATAGGAAAAGTGGGTTTTCGAAATCAGAGTACCCAAGAATAGGGAAAGGATTTGGATTTTTGAATCAAACAAAAAATTTTGGTTCAAACAATATGGAAAAGATTTAGGAAAGGATTTAGGTTTTTGAAATAAAAAAAAAATTTCTTGGTTCCAACAGTAAGGAAAGGATTTGGGTTTTTGAAATCAAACAAAATTTCTTAATTTAGTTATGGGATTTTGAATTTCATGGGTGTTATAATATGGATTGGTGACTTTTCTTTTTATAAATTAATATTGAGTAATTGAAAGCTTAATTATTATGTAACAAAACCAAAACTAGGAAATTTTTTTTTTTACTTTTTATTTTTAAATTGTATTTAAAATAATAAAAAAGAATGATTTTTTTATTTTTTTCTAAAAAATAAATCTTAATTTTAAGATTATTTTTAGTTTTTTATTTAAAATAATACTGAATCACTAAAAAAGTGACACATGACCTTTTTTTTTATTTAATTATCATTTTTTATTAAAGTTAATGATACGTGTTTCACACACACATATTTTCATCTAATTTTATTTTTAATTGTAAACATTTGATAACGTTTAGTTTTTATTTATATAAATTAAAATATTTAATCCTAAATTGAATAAAATGTTTTATTTTAAATTAAATATTTAGTCAATTTATATCCATTATATTCCCTTAACTTTAACTATAACTATGGTAGAAAAATTGTCAACGCTTTTTTATTTAGAATTGTCATTAATCACACTCCTCCACGATTTCAAAGTTTATTTACTTGATCAATTCAATGGTAAGCGCATGTTTGGATTAACTAAGCTTGAATTGTCAAAACTAAGATAATGTTAACTCGCTCAGTGCTTAGTGCATTATTCTTCTTGCTTAAAAAGTTGATTCAAATCTCCATTCTTCATGAATATTTAAAAAAAAAAAAAAAGGAGATTAAGGGGTAATTTTTACAAATGTTGCAGTTATTTTGGTATTTTTGTCCTCGTTTTATATTTTAAAGAGAGAAATAGATAAAAAAAAAAAATGAAATAAAAGGAGAGAAAATAATAGTAGAAGTTGAAAACATAACTTGGAGAAAGTACGGAGAAAGGCATGGAGGTAGAAGAAAGAAGTCGAGCAACAAATAAGAGAAAGGAAAAAAAAAAAAAATAGAGGAGAGCGAAAATTAATGGGATATATCAACATATATCAGCCCTATTTATTGTACCAAACATATTTAGAGTCATTTTATATAAAAATCAATATATAAATAAATCAAGAAAAAATTTGACTATATATATGTAAAATATAAATTTGATGCACGTCCATTAATTAAAAAAAACAAAAAAAGAAGAAATCATTAAATTAACATAGTTATTAGTTAATTACTTGATGGTTTGTGTAAATGTGAAATTTAAAACTCTAACTACAGTGCCTAGAATTATTATTATTAGTATTGTTATATCAAAAATTGTTTAAAGATGAAAAAACATGGACAGTTTTTTTCTGTTATTTAAAAAATCTAAAATTTTTTTAAAAATATTTCGCTTAAAATTTTCAGTGTATTTGTTTTTTCGCCCTTTTCCCTTTTTGCTTTTATAAGTAGAAAACAATCATTAATTTTTAAACATGTAATGAAATTGTTCCCCAAACCTTTAACTTAGTAGTTAAAGATGCTTGAAGGAACATTACAGGTCTGATTTCAAACCAAACCTCACCCTTCTCTACTAAAGCTTTGCCCTCATGATATAACCCAAAAAAAAAACCATGTAATGAAATCAATTGGCACATTATAACTAAAGTGGAAATTGACCATATAATTCAGATTTCAGAGCCTTACCTTCGGTCTCTAAATTTCTTGCAAAAGCTGTTAACATAATGTAACAAAATTTGCAAAAAGCATTTTATACCATTCAACAAATTTTTGCCCCAAGAAAATTGAGTTCAAATTTCAATAACAATTTATCTAGCAATTTTTGCTCGGAGACCAAGAAAGTTTGATATGAAAAAGCTTGGTTAAATATATATTGAAGAACCTTTGAACAGGTATAGCTTCTGGCAAAGACCATTAAAGTTCAGTAAGTTACTTTGTACACACAGTAATTACTTCACTGGGTATCCGTGATGAGACAAACCAAAATTTGTTCAATCCTATATATGAGCCACAATTCAGATACTAGCTGATAGATTTGACTACATACTCAACTGTTCAAAGAACAAACCAACTTCACCATGAAACTCACAAGGCATCCGGTAGTGGAAGATCTGGAACCTGCCGTGGAACATTCAAGACAGAAGCCAGACAAAACAGCTTTCATGAACTTCCTAAACCTTTGGAGCCAGGAAGGTCAATCCACTGAAGTTGAATTTCCACTTCACCACACTCCACATTTCTCAATCTGAGGCAAAGATCTTGGACAACCTTCCCTTCCATCCAATAAATGGCGCTCTCTTCAGCCAGGCAGTTGTTCCTGCCTGGTTGCACCCTTGATATTATGGTTCCACTTGGGATTTCTCCCAAATTCATTTTCAAGGCTTCCATATATGGCCTGATGTCAAACTCTGCATCTCCCATTTTGTCATCCTTGCTAAATGTGTCATGGTCAAACACAGTCTGGATCATGCAGAAACATAAAATATTGTAAACAAAATAATACCAGAAAATGACTTTATACATTAAAATGGCAAAACAACAAAACATAATTATTGCCAAAAGAGAGAGGGTGAAGAAAAGATAAAAAAAAAAAGTTGGCAGCATATCGTTGAAATTATCAGTTACTTTTCAACAAATTTAAGAGAAGATATGTTTTTGCCCCAAGCGAGGATAAAGCCAGTATTTTGATTCAAAGGGGCAGCAATACTCTTTAGCCTGCAAATTTATTTTTATGGTTTTTCTTTATCTTTCAAAACAAATAATTTACTCTAGTAATTGCTTCAGATTAAAATTAATGCATTTTGGTTTAAATATTTTAATAATGATAATATGTAAAATATCAAAAGTACATAGTAACAAAGATGCTTATAGAAGTACAAGTTTGAAATAACTTATCTGTGAGGAAACCAGAAGGTTGGAGGAAAAAAACTGAATTTAAGCATAGGAGAAAGAAGAAAAGATCACCAAAACAAAAAAAAAAAAAAAAAAAAACACAAAGTATGGGGAAAAAACTAAACTAAAGCAAAAAAGATCCAGTTAACTGTACTTGACATTGACAGCTACAATTTGTTTCATTAACACACAAAACCTTAAGATCAAAAGTTAATTAGATACTTATAAACTATTAATTGAATCCTTTTAGTGTTTCTCTGTCCTCTTTTGCACGACTGCTCTCTATCTTTCATATGATATTCCATAAATGTTTACTAAAAAGAAATTCCTAAGCATTCATCAGTTTTATTCTGTTTTCTTGCCAGAATAAAAATGATTATCAGTATGAAATTAAAAATAAAAGAGGAAACAGGAAAATAAATGGAAAATATCTGGTCCAGAAGTGGCATATACAGAGTAGCTTCTGTCATTTTTGGTTAGGATATCACGCTGAAAAAGCAGCACTAATTTTTTCCCACCCTCTCCTTTATTTTATGGATTTGTGTGTGGGAGGGAATGGAGGAAAGAGAGGAATTCAGAAGTGATTAAGGGTTCAACAATCTAGCAAAACAATCAGCCACCATAAGCCATTTGTGATACAGGATTCAATATGACCAATAGAAACCCATGTTACACCAAACACGAACATTCAAAGTTTACCGTTAGCCTTAGTCATAGATTTAATAAGTTATATATTAAAAATTTTTAAATATCTTGGGATGTTTCTAAAATCTTATCATATTCACACTTGGACATGAAATTTCTCTTCAATTACTCTTCTTCTCTTTTGTTTGGTTATGTTTGTTTGTTCTTTAAAGTGACAATATGCCATCTGATCATGTATGCTATTCTTCTATGATTTGATCGTGTTTTGCTGTCTATCAGCAATGTTAAAAGTCCACAGAAGAGCAATTAAACAAGACACCAGCAAAACAGATAATTGCTTCAGACTAAATTCCTGAAAAAAAGTGTGTAGTTCCTGATAGTTATACAACTAACATATCCAAATTTGGTATCAGCATGTTGACATTGATTTTTGTTCAGAAGTTTTCACTAATAACACCTTTGCAAAGAATGAACATCATTAGCATCATCAAGGAGACAACACAGTAACTATAAACCTCTAAAAGATCATTTTAGACACAATAAAAAGTATGCATTGAATTGACAAAAGCATATCAACAATGAATCAGTTGAGAACTAATTTTAAGATTATCAGAGAATCAGCAATTAAGATATACCTGCAAATGAATTTCTAGTTTTAATCAAGTAATAAACTCAAAATCAACAGAACATGAATTATCTCACAATTTAAAGATCAAGGTTTAGCCTATCTGATAGTGGAAAAAGAAAAATATCAACATCATCAAAAGTCCAAATCACAAGTCCAAAGAACACACATGTTTTACTTATTGATATAGGTAAGAGTCATCATTATGCATTGGTGGAAATTTGCTTCCAATTAAAGCTAGAAGCTACAAAATATAAGGAATGGTATTTATCTAGGAATAAATTTGGCATTAGAAGCTAGGTGCTACAAGTTCTCCTATATAATGCAAGTGTTGGTTATTGAACTTGCTTTCCACTTTTGCACCACACTGATATAATGATTAGTAACCAAAAGACTTACCAGCTTGATTGGTTGACTAGGATCTGTTATGGAAAGAGTTAAATCCTCATTCCACTCAGGATTAACATCCTTATTTATCACACGAGTTTTCAATTTCTGCAAGAAGTATTCAAATTAAAAAAAAAATAAAACAGTGAGCAAATTGCTCAAAATTGACTCCAAGAATAATTGGTAGAAATGGAACTTAAAATTTTTTTTAGCAAAAAAATTCATGTCTAAGCTGTCAAATCCAAGTCAGATCAACACATGAATAAGGAATACACCTCCTTTAATCATTTACAAAAAGCAATTAAGGTAAGGACTATTATTCTACACAGCATTGGTGGTATTTTTAAACTTCACAAGCGGATTTAGAATATTGATACATATCCCATTATTAATTATATTAATTTTTTTAAATATATCCTAATGAGGTATGTTGAAAACTTTTAACCAGTGTCCGCAAGTGTATTGAAGGGTTTCTCAATTTTAAAGTATTAAATAAAAAGAATGATTATTGTGGATAATCTTACTGCAAGATATAACTTTACATAGTAAGAAATGCATAGTTGCCTTCAGTCTAATTATTCACATCAAATTCTCTCATCAAATTCTAAACTATTCAGCAACTTACTTTCTCAAAATTATTAGTAAGTTTAGAGTTATTCAATGTCGAAGTCAACTTTGATAAAATAAGACTTTTGACAGAGGAAAAATCTTTGAGATCCATCAATCAAAAGGAACCGCTCCTATTGATCTTCATACAATCTATAATCAAATTATTATATTCAGCCACATAATGATATATTTGACAGTGTTATCTTTGAAATTATAAACGATCGAAAACAAATAATGATGGAACATTGACACAACAAGGACAGGAATCTTTACCTAACTAGACTCCACCAAAATTCTATTTTCTTTTCTTTTTCAAATTGTAATGGAACACAACATTTCAAGTTATAATAACCCCAAATCTGAAAGTTTCGAGAGGTCAATTACATCCCATCAAAGCAATCTTCGTAAATAAATAACATATTTTTTCTTAAAAAAAAAAAGAATTCCATGTAAATTTGTTACCAATCATAAAAGAATCATATCATTATTAATTATGATAAACTTTTAACTTGGAGATCATAATTAAAAAACAGAAAAAAACTAAGAGAGAAATCAACAAGGGAGTCGTGGACAAGGCCAATAGAAGGGAAGAAAAGGAGGCGAGTGAAACAGAAACAGACCTGTCTGCCCATCTTAACAACAACGTAAGGATCGCTGCTTCGGACATCACGAACGGCAAGGTTTACGCCCCGTTTGACTCGAATCCTCAGCAGGCCCAACAAGTCGTCCATCAACGATCTACTTCTCTCGTTTTGTGGTGTTATTGGAGACCCTATTATGTTTTTCTTGTTTCTTCCTTTTTGGATGGTTACCCTTTTTTATATCCAAAAGAAAACAAAAAATCTTTCTCTTCCTCTGTCAAAAAATAATAATAAATAAATTTATTTATTTTAATTAACATGACAGAAAAAGAAGGCATACTCATCTTTCCTGGGGACCCACCTGGTCGTTGAAAGAAACTTCTTTTGGATATTCAGGGAGCTGGGAAGTTCGGACGAAGCCGGGAAGATGGTGGGGTCCAGAGGTGGGAGAGGGGGCGTAATATCTGATGAGAGTAACCGGGAGACCCGGTACCCGGTAGTGAAATAAATGGAGGGGAATTGGTCGCGGAATCTTTTGTGGAGGTTGCCTTGGGATGAAACAAAACTATGGGGAATGCGGAAAAGACGCTTTTTTGTCTGGAGCATAATGATGACGTGGCGTCAAATTACTGGTTTTTGACATCTTCATGGCAAAGTTTTCTATGATCAACTTTTGTCTTCTTTTTTTAGGTTTTTTTTTTTTTCTTCTAACATTTCATGGTTTGCGTTCAACCGTACTTTATTTTATTTACTATTTATTTTAGTTCTTAGTTTAGGTTAAATTCAAGTCTATAAAAACGCTAAAGGGGACCATAAGAGGACAATTAAGATAGAGCCAAACTAAGGTGGCACTGACCATATCAATGGCACAAATGATAATGATAGCCTTAGTTATCTGCTGAAAACTTTGAGAGGAAAAAAGATCACTATACCCTTTTGACCATCAAATGCCTCTAACATGCTTTTCATATTTACTTGGTTAAGGATCTGACTTCACTTCATTTTTTTAGTTAAAGTTAGTATTAGTTGTTTGAATAAACATTAAAAATAAAGATTTTTTGAATTAAGAGTCTAATGAAATTGATTGTATAAGAAAGTTGCCATTTCGCTTGCTATAAGAAAGTAATAACTTTTAACTTTCACTAGAAAAATACACTAGCGTTATCGTGGGTCGAATTTTTTTTTATTTTATCATCTATATTTATTGTATATATATTTTAAAATTTTATTTAATTAAAAAAATAAAAAAAAGTGAAAGGTAACAAAAAAAAGAATGACACGTAAATACATTAATTGGCATTTGTTTTTCATAAAATTTATCTAACAAAAAAAGTGCCAAAAACAAAATAAATCAAAAAAATTGAAAAATAAAAAAAAATAAATAAAAAACTGAAAAAAAAAAGAAAAAATAAAAAAATGCTCATAGTGTCACATTTACATTCCATAATAAGTTTAAAATATTAATTTCTTAAATATAGGTTAAAAATAATTTTAATAATATAATACATTTATATGTGTAAAATTAAATAAATAATAAAATATATACTTTTATATATATCTTGAAATGGGTCATGACAAAACACTCTAAATATGTTTTTGACTCGAGCTTATTTATTTTAAAAAAACTTGATTTATCTCAAGTTAATCTCAATTTAAAAAATTTTCTTTTATTAGATGGACATGATTGAAATCTGTTGGATATGAATTACTTTGGTATCTCTATGGATTAACACCAGTGGTTGTAAAATTTATTTAATTAAAAAAAATAAAAAAAAATGAAAGGAAAAAGTCAAATGGGGTGCCACATCAACACCTCCATTAGTTTTTTTTTTTTTTCACAAAATTACTTTTAATAAAAGGAAAAAAAGGAAAATTAAAAAATTAAAAAGAGAATTAAAAAACAAAAAGCTTATCGATGAACTCATCGGATACAAATTTTTTTGATATTTCTATCCACTAGCTTTTTTTATTATAAAATTCATTTAATTAAAAAACAAAAAAATTAAAAAAAAGTAATTGGGATGTCATGTGGACACCAACATAAAGTTTTTTTTTTTACAAAATTTATTTAAATTAAAAAAATAAAAAAAAAAAGAAAAAATAAAGTAATATGCCAAACTTGGAACGAGGATCAAACAAAAATAAAAATGAGTCAAATTTTTATAATGGATAGATGGATTATATTTTAATTATGTATAAATATAGAATTTTTGTACATTTAAGATATTAAATAATATCTTTGTTAATATAATACATATTATAATTAAATAAACAATTAAAAATATAATTTAATAAATATAGTTAAAGCAAGACGAAAAACTATATCTTTGATTTGACTTTCATTTTTGAGAAAAAACCTTGATTCGATATCAAATGAAAAGAACGCACTATTGGATTTAAACGAACCGAAATCCATCATATACGAGTTGTTTTGTTGTCCATACTTCAATTAAAATTTTTTAAAAAAAATTATTTACTGATTTCTTTTGCTGTAAATTATATGATTAAAAAATTAAACAAATCAAAAGGTAAAATAAAAAGCGAAATTCTATGCCATGTGTACCTATTCATTGACCTTTTTTAAAATCAAACTATTTGTTAACTGAAATGTAGATAACAATCTAGGAAGAGGTAAATTGGATCGTCTCTAAATTCTTACCCAAAGATAAATTTTCATATAATTGTAAATGAAAAACTAAAAAAATAAGAAAATTATGAAATTATAGTATAAGTAGACAACAATAAAACTAAAGAAGTAAGAGTAGAAAGATCAAACATAAGGATTTATAGAAGTTTGGTTTTTCTCCAAAGGTATCTACATCCTCTCTCTTAGTTTTTCTAGCCAAATTTCAAATCCACTAATGAAAAATATTCTTATATAAATTACAATCTCTATCTTATCAAGGTCAAGGTAGCAACCTTGACCCCTTTATAGAATTCTACCAAATCCTTTATAAAGCTCTTAAGAGGATATTTCACCTCTTGACTCATTAAGCCCTTTTTTAATACAATGAATTTTGCAAACTAGTAAAAACCTCTATTAGTTAAGTGTTTGCTAAGGTTAAGTACAAAAATGAAGAGACAAATGAAAATTTGATACAAGGATTACAAAAAGAATTTGTAGTTGAAGCACTATGGACTCTGAAGCTCTTGGTTTATCTTTCTCTCATTTAAAATGTGTTGGAGGCTTCTTTCTATAATGGGAGATCATCTCTAATCGTTGTGAATCATTATAATTGAAAAAGAGCTTTTACTTCTTTCAAATTTTGTTTTTATTCAAACTTTTTATGCGAAGGGGATCGATTTTGGTATCAATCCACATGCTTTTAGATTAAAAAATATAGCCATTAGAAATGAAAGATTGATCCCTCTAGCTTAAAAAATAAGGAATGAGCATTCTAACTTAAGGGGATTGATTTTGGGATCAATCCTCAAGCTTGAAAACAAAGATAAGCTTTTGGAATACGGGATCAATCTTCTATATGATGGGATGATCCTTTTTGCCCAATATTGTATATTTTGACATTTTTTACCAAATAAAAAAGTTAATTTTTCTTAAACATATTTTTGCAAATGATATTCATTTAAGAGATGAATTGTTGAGAAAAATTGAGATCTAATAATATTTAGTAATTTTTCAAGAATTGATTAAAAAATTATGTCAAGGGAAAATTAGTAAATGAATAACTTTGATAATGATAAACTTAACTTAATGTTTTGTTATATCAATTTTTGATATAATAAAATTTTAGATAAATTTGCTTTGAAAAGCTCCCTTTTAATCAATTAAATATTTTGAAAGTGTATATGAAAAAACTCCCTCTATTTTCAAGACAACTTTCCAATATAAGCTCCCTTAAATACAAGCACAATTTTTAGTCCCAAAGCAATATCAGTAAGGCCATTTTGACATCACATTTCCAACACAATATACAACAATACTATGAATCATTTATGCACATTAGCAATACCATCATATAATATTCAATAAGCACTTAAAAGCAAATTTTGTCCATTATATATATTTCTCCCTCTTTTTGTCATAGCAAAAGAAAATGAAATCAATTTAAAGCATAGGACAATTTCAAGAACATATATATGGCTAAGTACATACAATCCCGCCAAGATCATAAATTCAATCACAATAGACAATAGAATTGCACTATAATTTCACAAAGTATAAAGCAATAGACATAAACCATAATTGTAGCACAAACATACCAAAGGATGCATGAAGCACATAGTGCACAAATTATCTCAATAAGGATTCAAGACATGATAGTGTTAGCATTCATCAAATCTATTCCAAAACTTCAAACCTATGACAATGAAGCATAATAAAAACAATGAAGTTCAAATACATGTATTCAAGGAAAAGAGAATAAATAACTCAACGTGTCTAAAATAATCATTTTAGCATAAAATCATAAATTCACTATATGATACTTTTGAGCAAAAAGATAAAGAAATAATATTCATACTACTCATAAATCATGTTTTTATAAAATGTGCTTAAAATTTAAAACATTAACATCATGTAAGCATATATTTAAGCACATATATTTAAATTCATACCAATCGTTAAAGAAATGTTACACATAAAGCATGATTTTTCAAATATGATGAACATTTATGCTATGTCAAAGAAATAAAAAAATGATTATCCAAAAATTCAATACATGATTGACATTATTCAAATATATTTTAAGTTATTTCAATGTATAACAATGTACTAAATCTAAATATATGCTACTAGTTAAACACAATTCAAACATATATTTTAATTAAAATCATATAAGTACATGCAAATACATTTCAAATCATATATAACAATATACCTAATTCAAAAAGATATACGAGCAATTAGGCACAATTTGGCATTTCTTGTTTCAAAAAACTCAACCAATAAACATGTATAAAAGTTTCAAATTTTAAATTCATAATTTATGAGTCAAAGTAATTTAAAGATCAAATTTTTTAACTCATAGGTATTTTCAAAGATTTCATCTTAAACAAATATTTATGCATGAAACCCATCTTATAAAAAATAGTTAAGAACCAGGCATGAATATCATTAAAGGTGAATTAATCAATTTAAGCTTTCAAAAATATTAAAACAACTATTATCAAGTGACTTGGTAACTAATTTGTGCAATGTGTTCACATTTTCAAGTACAAAAACATATATTTGCACATAATCTCTCATGAAAAATATTCAAAACATTTGAGTTAGTAATATTTTACCTCCATCCTTGTCAAGTTTTATTGTTTACTCATTTACCTTTGAATTGTCTATTCCATTTCATTTGAACAAGTCTTTAAAGGTATTTGAGCTTGATTGAGAAAGATGATATGTTTTGTTTGCTAAACTTGAAATTTCAAAATATAAACTGATTCATGCACCTTTCAAGTTTTTCTTTCATAGATTTAGAAAAATACTTGACAAGAAATATTCATTAGTAGCATAAAAAATATCAATTGATAAAAATTATACCAATCGTTAAAAAATGATTTTCATATTTTAAGTTATTACCGAAAAAAGAAACTTTGTTCATTAAGTACAAGTTGCCA